AAAAAAAAAAATATATGGGGGGGATTGTGGCTCAGTGGCAGAGCGCTTGCCTTGCACATGTGAGGCACTGGGTTTGATCCTCAGCACCATATAAAAACAAATAAATAAAATAAAGTTATTTTTAAAAATAAATAAATAAGTGATTAAAAATGGCTGGGGAGCTGGGTGTGGTGGTGCAATCTATAATCCTAGTGACTTAGGAGGCTGAGGCAGGAGGATCACAAGTCCAAAGCCAGCCTCAGCAATTTAGTGAGGCCCTGAGTAACTCAGCGAGACCCTGTCTCTAAATAAAATATAAAAAAGGGCTGGGGATGTGGCTTAGTGGTTAAGTGCCCCTGGGTTGAATCCTAGGTACCAAAAAACAGAAACAAACAAAACAAAACCCCAGAATGATCTGAAGAAACCAGCGCGAGGTTGCCAGCAGGGCAGGCCTGAGCGTTCTGCAGTGCTGGATGGCGCCTGGTGCAGGCCTGGCACGCAGTTGATGCCTAGTAAGTGCTTGCTGAATGAAGAACCCATGTGCAGTTTTTTAAAAGAAGCTACCTTTTTTGGTTGTTCACATATTTGTTGATTTTGCAGTGCTGGGGATGAACCCAGGACCTCGAGCAGGCTGGGCACACACTTTACCACAGAGCCACAATCAGCCCAGCGTGGACCCTTGTGGAGGAGCAGCAGTGTGTAGGGGGCCCCTCTGTCTGTGTGTGCGTCTGGTCTCACTGTTCCTGTGGACTGACTGAGGCAGAGTGTATGTGAGTGCATATGTGAGTGTGTGTGAGTGTGACTGTGTGTGGGGTGACTGTGTGAGCGGGTGAGTGAGTACCGCGGGCTACTCAGGAGGCTGGGGCAGGAGGATGGTAACCTGGGCAAGCAGAGGAAGTCAAACAGCTGGAGACGTGGCCCAGTGGTAGAGGGCCTCGGTGGTTCCCATTCCCAGTACCGAAACCACTCCGAACCCGAGAGTGAGCGTGACAGCGTGTGCACAGCTGTGTGCACAGTCGGGTCTGGCTGTCTCTGTGCCTGTGGCTTTTCTTCCCCATGTGCCGATGAGCCTGCTGCTTGGAATGTCCGAGTCACCAGCAACAGGAGCCAACACCGGATCCCGGCTAGAGCCAGTGGGCTGGCAATCCCCTTGTCTGGCCACGCCCCTAGAAGAGGTGCTGGGCCCAGGCCCTGGTCCCGCTGGAGGCCTGGCCAGAGCACAGTGAGGTCAGTGGTTTTGTTTTGTCCTGGCCTGCCCTCTTCCTGCAGGGATGAAGACACCAGTGGGGAGTGGGCTGTGAGTCCACAGCATGGGAGGCGGCCCAGGGGCTGGTAGGGGCCCCACACCCAGCCCAGGAAGGAGCAGGAGGGTCCCAGGCCCTCAGCTGTGGAGGGGGAGCAGGCGCTGGTCCGCAGCCCAGGCAGCCTACCCCCCCCCCCATTTCCTGTTAGGGATGGGAGGGAGCAGTAGGCCTGACTGCTCCCTTGACTCCCTGGCCTGAAGCCTCTCAAAGGGCAGGGTGGCTCATGACCTGCTCTGGGTTGTTGGCGTCTGCACTTTTTTAGGGCCTCCCAAATTTCAGCAGGACTTGAGGCCAGGGGACCCACAGGGAAGGAGAAGGCCCAGCGGCTACTTAGGGTGACCTGGTCTGAGCAGAGGAGTAGACCCAGTGCCTCTAGGCTCCTTTTAACTCCCCCAGACTCCCACTGTAGCCAGGGTCCTTCCCAGGCCCCGGAGGCCAGCCATCTGCCTGTGGCCTGGACCTTCTCTTTCTGTGGGATCAGAGAATGTGAGTGAGGGACAGCCTGGGACAGGTGGGACGGGAGAACCAGGCAGCAGAGGCCCTGCTCCCAGGGTGTGTGGTGGAGATGTCCACAGAGGTCTCAGCACTAATGGAAACCAGTTAGACAAACAGAGGGGAGGCCAGGCTGGAGGGCGGCTGGCCGGGCGGGGCTTGTTTTTCCAGAATGAAGGCGGGAGGAGCCTGGGGTCGAGTTCCCACATGGATTCTGGGGTGGGAAATGGGCCCCACCCAGCCCAGAAAAGCCAGGACCCTCAGGTCCTGGGGCTGGTCCTGGTGGCCCTCGGTCCCCTCTTGTCCCCTGCCATGCAGCAGCCCCAGGGGTAGAAGCCCTGTCTGAAGACTTGAGAACCAAGGCAGGGTTCAGAATCCTGCCCCCAGGGCTTGGGCCTGTGAGGATTCCATCCAAATGGGCTGCGGACTGCATGCAAGGGTTCTGCGGTTGTTTAGAATCTTCTTTCTTTTCTTTTTGTCTTGAGGTTTGCTTAACGAGCAGGAGTGGGTTTGGTGCACAGTGCCTGCTCTGTTATTTTACATCTGTTTATGTGACTTTGTAAGTTTTCCCAGAGCTTCAAATTTGTGCCTTTCCTTCAGTGGTGAGTGGTTGGGGGTCCTACGCCCTGCCTCCCCTGGGTGGGGGTCTTCCAGGGGCACATAACCTGGGTCAGACTTCAGGGTCACGAGGAGGCTCTGTCCAGGTCGACCACCTCTCTGGCCTCAGTGCCAGGGGCACTACCCTGCCTCCCTGGTTGGCTCCTCTGGGTCCTAAAGAGGACTGCGCTGCAGTGCCCATAATGCTGTTCCCAGAGAGCCCACCAGGGTCCCTGGAAGGGTGCCAAGGTCCTCCTCAGCTAAGAGGCAGAGGCAAAGGGCCATCTGGCACAGGGGCCAGTAGGTGGGAGGCAGCTCTAGTGGGGGACGCCAGAAGTTGGGGGACACAGGAGCCCCCACCAGGAAGTCCCAGATGTCACTGATACCCACATGGCCTCAGGGGTCCTACCTCAGGCTCTGTTACCCCCACAAGGACTGGGCTACTACCCCTCCCTATGCTGGCCAGTGAGTGTCCAGCCAGGGCTCCACTCCACCCTGCAGGGCAGGTTGGCTGCAAGGCAGCCCCTCCCCACCAGGCCAGCCAAGGATGGGGAGGCCAAGGGGCTGGAGCAGCGGGAGTGGGCGGGGCACAGACCGCAGGCCCAGGGCTCCGTGATGTCACGGCGGGGGCTAGGCGGGGGGAGGTGGTCGGCTGTTTTTCTGGAGAGTTAGGCTGGAGGGAGACAAAGCCAGAGGGGCTGGGCTGGCGCCATGGAGCTGCCGTCCGGCGCCCTGCTGTGGAAACTCCTGCTCCTGGAGAGTGAGTAGGGAGGCTGGGGCTGGGGTGCCAGCGCCCAGGACTCTGGGCTAACTCCCGCTGGGGCAGAGCTGCCTGTCTGAGCCTGGGCTGGGAGGGGTGAGGCGTTCCTGCAGGGAAGGGGCTAGGGTTGGGGGCCTCACAGAGATGCTTCACCTGAGGGCCTGAGGACTCAGACAGACCTCTGACAGTCCTGCCTGTGGGTCGTGGGGATGCCGGAGCCCAGAAGGGCAGGAGGCTGTGGCCAAGGTGCCTCCACAGGTCCTCCCAAACCCGACTCACCGTGGGGCTCCAGGTCCAGCCCCTCAGGTCTGCACTTCCACGGAGAAGCAGAGCGGGTCTGCAGGGGTGCCTGAGAACTGTGGGCTTGCCGGGTCTGTCCCAGCCCCCGCCAGGGCCCCTGGGCCCGCCCTGGCTGGCCTGCTGACCCTGCACATTCCTCTCTGAAGCTCTGGGCACTCGGCCACTTCTCTGCAGTAGGAACTTGGTCCTGTGGGGTGGCAGATGGGGGTGCCTTCCCTATGTCCACTCCTCTGGCTTCAGGCTCCTGACCTTGGAGAAGGCTATCAGGGCCCCATTGAGTCCTGGTTGTAGGCAGCGACCCCTGTGGTCTAAGGTCTCAGAATCCTTGAGGGCTCAAGCAAGCGGCGTGGCCCTTCCGCATGAGGATGTGAGCAGGCCTCAGGCTGAGGAGTTTGGGTGGACTCCATACACTGATGTAGTAATGGTCACCTAAGAATGGCCCCGATGACAAGCCCACACCCCAGAGCCAGCCATCAAAGGGTCAAATCCTGGCTTACATCTCAGCCCCTGGGGGAGCACAACTTCCTCACTCCCAAAGGGTAGAAGCTGTCCCCCAAACCCAGGCAGGGTGGCAGTGAGGGTAGAGGGTCTGTGTGAGGGGACTGCCCATGTCCAGCTGCAGGAGCCCCCCCCCTGTGTCCCCACTTCTCCAGCTTTACCCCCACCACAGTTCAGTGGGCATCATGGAAACAGCCTTGTCCAGGACTTCAGGAAGGGCCCAGAAACCAGGTGGCCACAGGCTGGGGGGTGACTGGTACCAAGGCTGAGGGCACCCCTCCCCAGCTTTACTCTTCCTCTGCTTCCAGGCTTTGCTGTCCTCCTGTCCTCAGGTGAGTGACCACTCTACCCCTATCATGGGCCCAGTCCTCTTTGCATTTTTCCAGCCCCACTCCTACTAGTCCTCTTGGGCCCGAGCCTGCTGACTCTCCTTTCCCCACCAGGGCCCTCAGGGTCTCCAACAGCTGGCAGCTCGGTGGTATCTGAGTCGGCAGTGAGCTGGGCAGCGGGTACCCAGGCCGTGTTGCGCTGCCAGAGCCCCCGCATGGTGTGGACCCAAGACCGGCTGCACGACCGCCAGCGTGTGGTCCACTGGGACCTCAGCGGCGGACCTGGAGGCCCAGCGCGCCGACTTGTGGACATGTACTCTGCTGGGGAGCAGCGCGTATACGAGCCGCGCGACCGGGGCCGCCTCCTTCTGTCGCCCTCCGCTTTCCACGACGGCAACTTCTCACTGCTTATCCGCGGTGAGGAGAGGGAATCCCGCGGGGTGCCCAGGGAATGCGGGCTGCCGGGGCGCGAGCGTGGCCGGGAAAACTCACGTGGCGGTTCTCTCCCTGCGGGCCGGGAGCAGCGGTGGAGGAGGGCGACGAGGGGCTGTACACCTGCAACCTGCACCACCACTACTGCCACCTCTACGAGAGCCTGGCCGTGCGCCTCGAGGTCACCGACGACCGTGAGTGGGCCCTGCGCGCGCCCCCCCGCCCCTCCCGCCGCCGGACGCTGACCGTCCCCTCCCCTCCGCAGCCCAAGCCGCACGCGCGTTCTGGGACGGCGAGAAGGAGGTGCTGGCGGCGGTGCGCGGCGCGCCCGCGCTGCTGACCTGCGTGAACCGCGCGCACGTGTGGACCGACCGGCACCTGGAGGAGGCACAGCAGGTGGCGCACTGGGACCGGCAGCCGCCGGGGGTGCCGCACGACCGAGCCGACCGCCTGCTGGACCTGTATGCGTCCGGAGAGCGCCGAGCCTACGGGCCGCCCTTCCTGCGCGACCGCGTGGCGGTGGGCGCCGACGCCTTCGCCCGCGGGGACTTCTCGCTGAGCATCGACCCCCTGGAACCGGCTGACGAGGGTACCTACTCCTGCCACCTGCACCACCACTACTGCGGCCTGCACGAGCGCCGGGTCTTCCACCTGAGGGTCACTGAGCCCGCCGCGGGGCCGCCTCCGCGGGCCTCGCCCGGCAACGGCTCGGGCCACGGCAGTGTCCCTGGCCCAGGTGAGGGCGCCCCCCCCCCCCCCCCGGCCGGGGGGCGGGTTCCCCCCCCCGGGGGGGGGCCCCCCCCCCCCCCCCCGGGCGGGCGGCAGTTTTCCTCCCCGGGTGCCTGTGCCTGACGCCTCCCTCTGGCCCGCAGACCCCACGCTGGCGCGAGGCCGCAGCGTCATCAACGTCATCGTCCCCGAGGGCCGGGCCCACTTCTTCCAGCAACTGGGCTACGTGCTGGCCACGCTCCTGCTCTTCATCCTCCTGCTCATCACTGTGGTCCTGGCCACACGCCAGCGCCGCCGCGGAGGTGAGGCGGGAGCGTTCCAGACCCAGGGGCTCAGGGATGCTGCGACCCCGCGGATGGCGAGCCCAAGTGCGGGGGGCGGGGGTGGCTTCCTCGGGGAGGGGCCAGGCTGCCCCCAACACCGTCTCCCTCCATCGGCAGGCTACGAGTACTCGGACAAGAAGTCGGCAAAGGCCCCAGGGTGAGTGCCGCCTCCCGCCCCGCCCCCGCCCAGGCCGGCCACACCTCTAACCTGCTGCCTCTCCAGGAAGGATGTAAATTTGGCGGAGTTTGCTGCGGCCAAAGAGGACCAGGCTCCTTACAGGAGTGACGACATTCAACTAGGTAGGCCGGACACCAAGGCCCGGGCTGGGGAGGGCGCCCCCGGGAGGACCTCACCCTGCTCCCCCCATACAGATTACAAGAACAACATCCTGAAGGAGAGGGCTGAGCTGGCCCACAGCCCCCTGCCTGCCAAGAGCATTGACCTGGACAAAGGTGAGCACTGGGAGGGAGGTTTCTGCCACCCCTCTGCGGACCCAGGCAAAACCCCAGCCTACTCATTCCCAGGACCCCAAATATGGGCTCCAGCAAGCCTCATGGGTAGAAGACCCTCACCATCTCTGCTCAGGAGTCTGAGAAGTTCTGTAGAGTGTCTGCTCTTAGTTTTCCACGGAAGGGGGCAGAGAGTTGACACCAGCTTTTCTGTTGGCTTCCAGAGTTCAGGAAAGAGTACTGCAAATAAAGGGAGCCTGGGCTCCTGGCTGGCCAGCAGCTCTGCCTTGGAGGATGTCCCCTGACCTTGCCATGCTCACCGGGCTCCTTTCCAGCGGCTGGCCCGCTTGCTTTCCTGGAACTTGGTCCAGACTGGCCAGAGTGGCTGCCCTCACTCCCTCTTCCAGGAATAACCCTCATTCTCCTAGGGACTCTGCCACAGTGGCTGCCACACTTTGGCCACCTTTGTCCACTGGTGGCCCTGTCCCCACTTCTGCCACAGCCAAGATCCTCGATGTTCACCAAGCCTTCAGGCCCTCCTGGCTTCTCCCTGCTAGGGGCAGGAAGATGTTCAGAGAAGCTCAGTCAGAACCTGGTGGCTTAGGAAGCTGGGAGGCTGGCACATCCCCTTTTTTCAGGGGAGCTCTGTGCCACTGTGAGCCCCCAAGGGCCTGTCTGAACTGCACTGCCCAGCATCCCTTCTGGGTGCTGCCTGATCTGTGCTGGGACTGAGGACTCCAGGCCCTCTGTGCTGCTTTGGGCCAATGGGGCTACCCCTTGGCTCTGCCTCTGCTTTTGACCCTTTATCCAGCTTTCTCTCCCTTTTTTCCATGGCCCACTTGACAGTCACTGGGCTCCTTACGACCTTGACCAATGCCCCTCCCCGGGCTGGAGTCTGGGGCTGGGGCCACATCCTGGCTTTTGTTTTGACTGAGGATAGAGTTTGGGGTGAGGACAATTCTATGTGCTGCCACACTTGGTCTTGTTGGGGGTTTTGCCACATCACAATAAAGGCCACATTTGACTTTTAGACTCGGCCCAGGTATGTCTACAAAAGTGTCCATCGGTCCCCCCAGGAACCCCTAAACAAGTGTTCTTACTCTCCTTGAAGTGCCACAGTTATGTCCCTCCCTGCAAGTGGAAGGTCTGGGTCCTCTTAGGAGCGAGTGTCCTGGAAAGGGGACATTGGACCCAGTTCTGCTGCTTACTTCTGACAGTGAAGGGGTCTCAGTTCTTCTGTTTATTTGGACAGTGGGGAGGGAAGCACATGAGGACAGAGGGGACCACGTTCGTAAGTCCTCTGAGGAGCAGACCTGGAGTGGATAGGACGGCTTCACCAGGATGCAGGTCTGACACTGGATGGAGTGCAGGAGATGGGCAGAAGAGTGGCGCTGCAGGGCCTGGCCAACAGGGGCTTCACTGGCCCTCCGCTCAGCCTCTGGCTAGGAGCTGACAGTGTGTTCTTGGCACAAACATGGGGTATAGGTGAGGGGAGAAAGTATGCACAGACCTGAATTGCCACCACGGCCCCTCCTCTAGTGCCCTCAGAATAGTGGGGGCAGAGCTGGGCACAGTGGCACATGCCTATAATCCCAGTAGGTCAGGAGGCTGAGGCAGGAAGATCGCAAGTTCAAAACCAGCCTCAGCAACTTAGCAAAGGCCCTAAGCAATTTTGGGAGACCTTGTCTAAAAAAACAACAAAAAAGGGCTGTGGGATTTGTTTCACTGGTGCCCCTTGGCCCTGTGTTCAATCCCTGGTACGAAATATATATATATATATTTAGTGGGAGCAGGAAAGGGTGGCAGTCACCCTCAAGGATCCCACAGTGCCAAGGTATGTGGGAATGCTGGCTTGGGGAGGTGCTCCTCTCTTCCAGCCTAGTAGCCTGTGGCCCTACTAGTGCCTACACTGTCACTGGACAAGCCCTTCCTGCAGGGGCTCAGGCTCTGGCCACACACTCACCCAGTGGGGCCCCAGTGTTGGCATCAGCCTCAGGCCTCTGGGTACTGTCCTCTTCTACAACTGGGGCTAAATGTTGGGAGCTAGAGGGCAGCCAGCCCCAGTCCCTGACTCAACCCACAGCTGTTTGTGTCCAGCCTACGGGGCTCTCAAGGCAGGGACTGGTTTCCTCTTTCCTTGGGCACCAGCAGAGACCTTTCAGGGTCAGATCATCCAAGGCCATCCTGCCTGTTTCTTCAGGTCACCTCCGGGGAAACTAAGGCCTGAAGGGAGAGGGCCTGCCTCCAGGTGATGGGGAGGTGGTGCCCAGGATGGCAGAATCCTGCTAGTCCTACCCATCAAAGCTGAAGTTACAGGGGCCAGGACACTGGGCCTAGGCTATACTGGGGACTTCTGTCCAACTTCTGGGTCTTCCAGGCAGTAGTGGGGTCTTTCTTTGTGTTGGTCCAGGGCCTGGGATGACCACCACCAGGCAGATGGGAGAGTCCCAGGTCACAAGGGGCTTGACACATGCCTTCCCCCATCATTCCTACTGCATCCTAGGATTGCCCCCATTCTGGCCAGCCTGGGACTCCTTCTAATGGCCCGGAATCTTTCTCCTGGAGTGGGGGCAGGGAAAGCCTCCAGGCCAGCAGAGCAGCAAATGGCTGGACCCTTCACAGCCTGGGGGGTGTACTGGGTCTTCCTTGCCCTGCAGAGGACCTCAGGCTGGCCCAGTCTACACAGGACAAACTTCTTCTGGCTCAGCAGCTGCCAGAGCACCACACCTGGACACCTCTGTGCACACCCATGGCCACGCGAGTTCTCCACCCGCGTGAGCAAGCATTCACTTTGCCAGAGTTTCCTGGAGCACCCATGGGACCCGGAAGTGGGCGGACGAGTTTGGGGCTAATGCCAGGAGCAGAGTAACCGAGTGCTGCTGGCTCGGTGTATGACACAAGTATCTTCAGCTTCCTGCGGTGCACCTCACAGGCCGCCAGAGTGACCGGACGCCTCTGAACTCTGGGCACCCAGGACCCGTGCATCCTCGGGAGAGGGTGGACGCTTCCCCTGGTCCCAGTGCATCTCCGATGGGGTGGGGGGGCGCGCCTTGGCGGGGGGGGGGGGCCTCCCTTTGACGGCTGGGGACGCGACGCGCAGGGGGGGGCGGGGCTTCCTGGGAGTCCCTCCGCGAATACCCCGGGCGCGTCAGTCTGTCCGGGTACCCCGACTCCAGGACTGAGCTGGAACTGAGGCCGGCGCACGTGTTGGGGGCGCCCCGCGCGTCTGGCCGGGGACCCCGGGCCCGGGCGCAGAGTGGCGCAGGGCGGGCGGCGCCGGGGCGAGCGAGCCCGGAGCTAGCGCGGGCGTGCATCCA